GTTCCCAAGGCTCATGGCTTGATCCACTGGGGACCAGGAGAGATGGAGCAGGGATTTCCAGTCCTTCCCAGCACGCCTGATACTGGGGGCCGATTTGCTGAGTGCAGGGACCAGGAAGGCTTTAGGGCCGGGGTGCAAATGCCTGCAGCTTCTGGAGCCCCCACCCCTAGACTACAGTAGGCTCAGTCAACATGAGCTTGAAACAGTTTCAGTTTTTACATTGCAGAAAAATTTTTGTAAGTTTTTTTTTTTTTTTTTTGTACCAGGGATTGCACTTGAGGCCTGTTTGCCCCACAGGTGCGTACACCCCTGAGCTGTCTCCCAGCCCAAAATTCTTGTTCTTGTTAGTCCAGGTTTGCAGCTCATAGTGAGTACGTTCCTTGCGGGAAGTTGGCGCAGGGATGTCACACATCTTAATTCTTTTTTTCTCCCCCTCCCATCTCTCTCTTTCTCTTCCTCCTCCTCAAATCTGTTCTTTCTTTCTTCAAAAGATCTAGCTCCCTATTTCCTATTATCCATCTTTTATTTTACTCATTATATTTTGAGTTTCTGTGGATATTTAAGCTTGTGTGTTAGGTTTATTTCACGCAGCATGCAGTTTCCAGCTGTATCTGCTTTCCTGTGGAGGACTCTGGTCCTCACCAGCTGAGACTGCAACCCAGGAATCTCATCAATGGAAGCACAGATCCCCCGACCCCACGCTGGTGACCAATCAGAAGCCCCGGGCATGGGGTGCTCTGGAGGCCCCGCTGTACAGGGCCTTCTACCTGTCTCCCCTTTTTGTGCAGCAGATTGAAGTTGGGGCCTTTGCACAGACTTTTCAGCCCTCCTGGTCCAACACCCACCTCCAGCCCCACAGACACCCTTCTGAGGGTAGGTGAGACCATGCCCTCCCAAGAAGAGATAGTTAAAGACTGACAAAATCTTGAAAATCAGATAAAGCACGCGAAACGCACAACTCTGTGGGCCTGCTGTTGGCCACCACTGCAGCCCAACACCCAGCCTGCCTTTCCGAC